AAAACACGGTTCCATACATGATTCCATATTAGTTGATTCATACTATAACAACAAAAAGAATGCAGTGGAAAGGATAATGAAATCTTTTATGGATGATGGATGATGGAAGTTGGCAGCAGGACGTTGACACAGAGGTTGAAGAAATAATTTTTTTATGTGTTCTGTATGACACATGATCTTATGTAGTATTAATAAGGATACAACGCATACCCTATTAATTTAGGGATGTATCAAAGTAAATTAGGTAGGAATCATATATTTTGAAATATTAAATGAATGGAGAGGATTAAAAAATCGATCAAAAAATAATCAGAATCATAACAAAGTTAATAAGATATTTAGAAGATTTTTCATTTAAATAAGTAAAGATCATATAATACCAAATTTAATTAGAGTCTTGAATTTTTTATCAAATTATAATTATAATTTTAGAATATTTTCGAATTATAATTAAAAGCTTAAAATATTTTAAAAAATCGATACAAAAATAGTCAGAATCATACCAAAGTTAATAAGATATTTAGTAGATTTTTCATTTAAATAAATAAAAATCATATAATACCAAATTTAAATAGAGTCTTCAAATTTTTTCGAATTATAATTATAATCTTAGAATATTTTCAAATTAGAATTAAAAGCTTAAAATATTTTCGAATTATAATTAATGTTAATAAGATTTAAAAAAATAAAAAATATATATTAACAGTTTGAAAATTAGAACTTGCAAATAAATATATTAAAATTTTAAAATTATATAAAGGGTAAAATTGAAAAAGAAAATCATGAACCCTGCTCATATTTGTACAACTCTTCGACTTCCTACACGGGTCACAGCCAATACACCTGCATTCTCACTGCAAATAACAAATCATAAACTCTTCATTTTTTTTTATAAAAGTAGTGATTTATTTAGAAGTTAAAAAAAAGTTGAGATTTGTCAACTTACATATATAAAGACGATCCAGTTACTGTTCTAAACAAGGCGGACAACAAAATGTCAATTCCCTAACAACAAAAGAAAAGAAAAACATATTTATCTTTTTTTTTTGTAAAAAACATTTAATTATCTTTAACTAAAAGTTCAAAAGAATTATAATTACCTGCCAACCAACACCACGACTTAAAATAGATGGAGGCAAGGGGCGGCACTTGCATACCGTGAAACCGCAATGAATCCACCAGTTGACTCAACTGAAACAAATAACTGAAACATGTAAATAATATTAATTTTGACTTTTTAATAATATTAGCAAAAAGGAAAAAACAAAAAACGGTCAAACGGACCTCTACAAGGGTAGCAAAACCAGTTCTCATCATGGCAAAAGGTTCACCAGCATCAAAAGAAGGTGCACCCTATTGAAATGGATATGGAACTCTTATCCTTACAAGTATTAACAAAAAAAAGTGTTACAAAATTAAATAAAAAAAAATTGAGAGCAAATTTAATAGTGTGTGTAATAAGTAACTAACCATGGTGCGACATCGATTAATCCAGAACTGGAAATCAGTACGACAACTTGTTTGTGTTTGAGCATAAATCCAAACAATGGCAATCGATGCCACAACTGGAAATTTCTCAAAGATCCTTTTTCCTGTATGTATCAAATGAGGAAGATACTACACATAACCAAACAAACCAATTTTAGTACTTAATGAGGAAGGTCTTCTTTTCTTGACTTTTTGTATTAAGTCGTTCTTTTCTTTATGACTCATATATAGCTTACCATATTTAGTGCATAATAGTGCATTAAAATATGACTTTATTACATGTGACAAAACAACTATAAAGATGAGTTGAGGAAGCCCGATTTCAACACATCTTGCGACCTAAAAAAGACAAGACAAGTTTAATTCATATATTTACCTAAACATGTGATCATGAGAAGAAATGATTTCTTTATTTTTGTTATACTTACCCCGGGGAATCCAAATTCGTAGAGCCCAAAACCAACAAGGGCAACCAAAGGAGCAGTAGAAAGAGGACTAAAAAATCTATAATGATGTTAAACAAAGAACACAAGAAAATAGAACAATCACATTTGTGATAAGGGAAGTTTTCACAAAAAATACTACATTTTCAACATTTTATCCAAAAAACCACTACTTTATTTTTTTTTTCTTTAAGAAAAACCACTCATATTTCAAAAAACAAAAAAAAAACATTCATATTATGATATATTTTTTTCAAAAATCATCATTTTTAAGAATACAGTATAGTTAACCATGAAACAAAGTTTGTTAACCATTAGGGGTGAGAATGGTTCGGTCTGCTTTCAGTTTTAGTAAAAAAGTCGAATGATAATAATTATAAATATGAATGGTATTTCTGAAAGAAGCGTGTTCCTATGTTTGTTCTTTCAACTTTGATAATCTGCTTGCATCAACACTACACTCTAGAAGCTGCATACAAAAGTAAAACCACCCATTTTAATAAAAGTACCTGTATTATGCAATAGTAACAAATTAAAAAAGAATGTATATACCAAATACAATAACAACTATATGTATATACACACCTCCTGTATCTCATCCCTCGTGATCCTTCCATATATATTGTTGTCAGTCCTGTATTCAAAATAAATAAATAAATAATCATTAGAATTTGTTTAACAATAAAGAAAATAACATAAATTGATCAATTTCATCATCGGTGCAGTTGATCGTGATTCATCTCATATTCTTATTCAAGAAATACAACGTTTAATTTTAATTAAAGGCATAAAACAATGTGTAGTGTTTGCTTACAAGTCAAATGGTAACACTGAAATCAAAACGTCATAAAAAATTATTTTTTTAACAATGAAAAGAATATTATAGCGTTCTTTTTTATGGCCACAACCCAACATCATACCGGGTCAACTTTGTTATTATATACAACTGAGATTATGTTGGCATAATGTGAAATGACCACCATGCCCTTCACCGAGAAGTCATTTTTAAGATATTGGGATTAAACTAATCTTGTCCCTATTTGCACCTACTTACATCTATTGACTATAGTATTTTGTTGTGAATATTGCACTATATTCTCCTAATTGTTTTGAATTTTCACCTCCACAGGATGCATAAGGGAAGTACCTGCACACAAACTTAACAGGGTATTTACCTAATGGTGTGTCTAAGTATAATATTAATACATAAGGGTATTTCGGTCTTTTACAAAGTAAGGGCATTATTGGAATAGAAATATGCGGGAGATTAGAATCATACAATTAAATGACTCATGAAACTCCAAGTGATCATAACAGAGAAAGGAAAAGTTGAAATTCCAAGTGATCATAACAAAGAGTATAACAAATTCATCACTAAAATAATATAAAAAACAATCAAAACCAACTCATAACTGAAGAAACGTTGCATCAAAAATCAAACAATGAAAATTAAAGAATATGTGAAAGAAGTATTTTTACGTGATCTTCATATAGATGTACGACCTCTTTGGCGTGTTCTTGAAATCCCCATTACCTTAAAACATTTAACAAATCTCTAGAATTCATCTTTCTATGTAGTGAAATACTTTCTATTTGTATCAGGTTTGTTGCGTTTTCCACTTAAACAAACAATTTGTTAAATTAATGGAAAAAAAGTCTTCTCAATATGTGCAAATTTACCCAAACAGATAATGGGGTCCTAGAAATATATAATAACCAAAATTTAGCATTACTTAGATTCAACTTAGTGCATTGCTATAGTTCAAACACGTGCTTACAACAGAAACTACATTAAATTCGAAAGTCCATAGCTCATTAGCCTCTACATAATAGGATCATGAAACACCCTTTTCACTATTTTTAGAACCTCTTCACGCAGATCTGTGAAAACTCATTAAGAACTCAACATTTCATTGCATTGCCATATTCCCCACTGTAACAGGACAAAAAGGGGATAAAGGTGAACATTATAAACACATGATTTCATGCAACTGTTCTTAATATAATATAATGGGAAGTTATTTAGTTACCTATATTCAGAACCATCAGCCAAATATGCCCCATAGCTTCCTTCAGATGCAACAACTAAGATAGGCCTACAAGATTCACCATATTTTTC